TCCCTTTTAAATACTGCAATATGTGTTTGATTCCATTCCAATATCTCCTTGTAGGAGCAGAGCTATATCTTGTTAAAACATTAACTGAAAAAGTTATGTGAGACCTTGTAATGTTAGAAAGATACATTTGTGCACCAATTGCACTAAGATATGGTACTTCGGGACCAAAAAGCTCTTCATTATTTTCATGAGGTCGGAATGGATGTGCTTTATCCATATATAATCACTTTAAAATCATTTTAGTGTATGCTGGTCGATGGACAAAAATTTCATCTTTCATATACTCAATTTGTAGACCAAAACAAAATTTTATCTTTCCAAGATCTTTCATTTCAAATTCTTTCTTTAATTAGTCTACTGCTTTAGGAAACTCCATAGGAGTTCCAATGATATTTAAATCATCAACATACACTGTGATTATAACAAATTTAGATCTAGATCTTTTTATAAAGATACAAGGACAAATTGAATCATTCTTGTACCCTTCTTTCAACAGGTACTTACTCAGGCGATTATACCACATGCGCCCTGATTGTTTCAATCCGTATAAGAATTTTTGAAGCTTTATTTAATAAATTTCTTGAAAACCTTAATATGCTTCAGAACAATTTAAATCCTTTAATGATTTTTATTATACGCATATCACGTTTTTCTTGTATTGCCAGATTAAAACCTGAAATGGCGACATCCACCACAGGAGAACATGTCTCTATATAATCAATGCGAGGATATTTACAATTATTTTTGTGACACAAGTCGTCTTTATGTTTATCGACTTGACCCTTTTTTTTCCGCACAAGAACACATTTATACCTTCACTGACTTTATACTTTCAGATGTTGGGACTATCCGTCCAACTTCATATTTTCAGGTGAAATAAATTTTCATTGCGTATTTTTCATTTGGCCAATCATTTATCTGACTAAATTTCATGACAAATTTGAGCTCAAGATCCTCGTCAATATTAATAATATTGAGCGCTACATTATATTAACAATATCGTCAATGATCATTTTATATCAGTTCTACTATTACCCAATAAAGACATAACTTATTGAGATCTCTTTATCTTATTATCTTCAGGTACCCGAGCCTCTCCCATGAGATCTTATGAAGTGTTATGTCGTGATGCTCTTCTAGAGCACTTGCCTCCTTATTATGACCATCTTGAACATTTGCTCCTCTCCTTCTTCAAAGAGTTTTATATTTGGAACCGATTAGTCTATTATGCTTCATGCATGCCATAGACTCTATTCATTATGAACTTTATTTTATTTGGAGCATTAGCAGCTGAATATGACATTTAGTTTTAGGTCAGCAATTACGCCTGGCAATATTTTACAAATGAATTATCACTTGAACTTCAAGTTCACATTTTCTCGTATGAGGATCTAGATGTACTCATAATAATTCATTACATGCATTTCTTTTTCAGCTGCCCATTTTCTCCCCCTATTGTTGGGATCACCAACAAATATCACTAGTCTTATTTGGGGATCCATCTTTGTGCATTGTGGTGGAACAATTAAATCATATAGCACATTCATATTTCTAGATGTAAATTAATTGGTTCCTGACCCTGAACCGATTGTGATAGGGAGAACTTATCATAACTTGGCTAGATGCGTACAA